TAAAAGGTTTGAAACCTTGGGGTTTACAGTCATGGTCTTCTTCTGAACTGTCTTGCCAGTTTTTTTTGACGTCACATTTCCTCTCACAGCCTTGGTTCCCCTCTCTGGATTTATGCCAGCAAAGCATCTGAATAATAAGAATAAAAGATTTTCTGTGAACAAGGTATTTAAAACTGTATGACTTACAAAAATAAATAAACTATCTGCAAAAGAGATTTTCTGTTCTGAAAGAAAATTTTAGTGAAAAAGCACATGCATTTTTGCAGCACTAAAATGGTTTTCCCTGAAAAAAAGGTTATTATTATATGATGAAGATTTAAGACATGAAAAGGGCATTCAAATGTTAAAATGTTTGATTTTTGAACAACACCAGTGACGTGTGTGTACATAGTTAAAGTCCCTATTTGCTATTGTTTATGTACAGTTGAAGTTAGAATTATCAGCCCCTTTTTTTGAATTATTTATTTTCATTATTTTCCTAATGATGTTTAACAGAGCAAGGAAATGCTCACAGTATCTGATAATTTTTTTTTTCAAGAAAAGGTCTTGTTTTATTTTGACTAGAATAAAAATAGTTTAAATTTTTTTAAATATTGATTTTAAGGTCAAAATTACTAGCCCCTTTAAGCTATATAATGTTTAGATAGTCTACAAAACAAACCATTGCTATATAATGACTTGCCTAATTACCCTAATCAGCCTAGTTAACCTAATTAACACAGTTAAGCCTTTAAATGTCACTTTAAGCTGTATAGAAGTGTCTTGAAGTATATCTCGTCAAATATTATTTACTGTCATCATGACAAAGAGAAAATAAATCAGTTATTAGAGATGAGTTATTAAAACTATTATGTTTAGAAATGTGTTAAAGAAATTATCTCCGTTAAACAGAAATAGGGGAAAAAAATAAACAGGGGGCAAATAATTCAGACTTCAACTGTATATAATATAATATTTTTTTTTCCCCCAATTTCTCTTTAACAAAGAGAAGATTTGTTCAACATTTCTGAACATACTAGTTTTAATAACTAATTTGTAAAAACTAATAACTGATTTCTTTTATCTTTTCCATGATGACAGCAGATAATAATTGCCTATATTTTCTTAAAATACTAATGTTTAGCTTAAGGTGACATATAAAGGCCTAACTAGGTTAATTAGGTTAATTAAAGTCATTGTATAACGATGGTTTGTTCTGTAAACAATCAAAAATATGTATTGCTTTAGGGGACTAATAATATTGACCTTAATATGTTTTTAAAAAAAAAATAAAAACTACTTTTATTCTAGCTAAAAATCAGAAAAAATTTCTCCAGAAGAAATAATATTATCAGAAATTCTGTGAAATATTCTTTGCTCTGTTAAACATAAATATGTAAATATTGAAAAAAAAAAAAAATCAAGGAGGCTAATAATTTTGACCACGCACGCACGCACACACACACGCACACACACACACACACACCACATATAGTGTTCAGCATAAATGAACAGCCCCTTTAAAAAATTAATATTTGTATAAATTCCTCAGTGAATATAGACAAATATATATTGGTGCATTTAAACAAAACAGTTTTATTAAACAGAGTAATATTTTTTTCCTGTTTATTATTAAAGATGTATTTTTTTCATCAAAATATTCACTGGCGTGTACTAAGTTTATTAGCTCCAATTTTGGCTTTGACTAATCTAATGTTTATGCACAAATATATAATTGTAAAGCATTCTATTCAAAATATTAATCTGAAGGACAGATTTTTTAGAGGTCATGTTTAAAAAGGCTATTCTGCTCACAAAGGCTGCATTTATTTGATCAAAAATAAAGTAAAAATGTTGAATTTTAAAGTGTTACTACTAGGGATGTAACAGTATCAGAATTTCACTGTACGATAATACCTCGGTATTAATGGCATATTTATTGAATAATTTACAGGAAAAACAAAACTAATGAAAAGACTCGAAAAAAGTGCCAAAAGTGTTTATTTACCTTAGCACTGAACATATCAATGACATACAAATTAGCCATCTATCTGTAAGTTTCGAAACAGAAACTTAAATTTTTAAATTTTAATAACAAAAGACTATTAAACTATATATATAAAAAAGTTTCAATTTAGTATTGTTGAAAACTCATCACATTCAACATTTATTAATTACTCACTCACTTAGATAGAGATGGGTTTTTTAAGGAAAATGATCATATAACTATAATCTGGTAAAAGCTGGGATCTCTAGGCATCTCCCCTGCAACAGAAAAAACCCTCTCATTTGGGACTGAGGTTTCTGGGACAGAGCGATATGATTAAGCCAAGGTTGACAGCAGTGGGTAACACTGTGCATTGTCTTTCCCCCACTTGAGAGGACAAGCCATGAGTGAGATAGAGGTCTCTTTGCGGTACAAGTCAATGTCTGCATCAATCTAACAAGTGTGCTGTGTTCTGCAGTCCCCATGACTGTTTTTAGTCGTATTCCCCGACTTATATTTCACAACAGTCTTGCAGTGCCTGCATACTGTTTTTTTCTTTGTCTGTCACCTTTTCTCCTTTCTTGTATCTTTTTAGAGAGAAATCGAAATGCTTTCAAACATCCGATTTGAAACCCACTTTAGGTTCGATCATTTCCAGCTCTTTTTCTTCCCCGCTACTAGCAACAAACTCCATTTCCGCATTACTGGATCTGTAGCGACAACAGACCGCAAAGGATGATGGCCATGCCTGGGCTGATGGGAATTGTAGTTCCCGCTACCTCCCGTTTGCTTCATTCGCCTGAGCAAACTTTTCTCAGAAATATAGTTTTATTGAATCATGCGCCTGCGGTAATATTGAAAAAAATTACTATAGCGGTATGACGGTATTTACAATTTTGTTACATCCCTAGTTACTACACAATTTAAATAATTCAAATTTTTCAATTTTTTTTTTCTTATTGAACAGTTTCACATTTAATTTAGTGTCACATGATCCTTAAGAAATCATTATATTATTGGTACAAAACCACTAATATTGATTCTTATAATGATCAGTGCTAAAAAAAAGCTTCAAAGTATTTTGGAAACTGATACATTCTTTTACGATTGTTTGATAAAAAAAATAAGTACATTTTTTTTAAAATCTTTTTTGCATTATAAAAAATTAATTTACTTTTATTCATTCCTTCATTCATTTTCTTTTTGGCTTTTTCCCTTTATTAATCTGGGGTCGCCACAGCGGAATGAACCGCCAACTTATCCATCATATGCTTTACGCAGCGGATGCCCTTCCAGCTGCAACCCATCACTGGAAAACACCCATACACTCTCATTCACACTCATACACTACAGACAATTTTAGCTTACCCAATTCACCTGTATCGCATGTCTTTGGACTGTGGGGAAAACCGGAGCACCCGGAGGAAGCCCACGCGAACACAAGGAGAACATGCAAACTCCACACGGAAATGCTGACCCAGTCGAGGCTTGAACCAGCAACCTTCTTGTGTGAGGTGACAGCACTACCTACTGAGCCAGCTACTGATGGTGGCGCAGTAGGTAGTGCTGTCACCTCACAGCAAGAAGGTCACTGGTTCGAGACTTGGCTAGGTCAGTTGACGTTTCTGTGCGGAGTTTGCATGTTCTCCCCGTGTTCGCGTGGGTTTCTTCCTGGTGCTCTGGTTTCCCCCACAAGTCTAAAGATGTGGTACAGGTGAATTGGGTAGGCTATATTGTTCGTAGTGTATGTGTGTGAATGGGTGTATATGGATGTTTCCCAGCGATGGGTTGCAGCTGGAAGGGCATCCACTGCATAAAACATGTGCTGGATAGGTTGGCGGTTCATTAAGCTGTGGCAACCCTGGAATAATAAAGGGACTAAGCCGAAAAGAAAATGAATGAATAATGTGTATTGTATTGTTTCACAAAGTTATGACAACAACAATAAATGTTTATTCTTAGCAGATGGTTATATTAAGCACCATGAGAATTATGTGACACTGAGGACTAGTATTTTTAATGATGATCAAAATTTAACTTTAAAATACAAGAATCACATTTTAAACTAAATACAATAAAATACCAGTACATGATTTAATTAGTTTATGATAAATATATACTATTTAACTGACATTTCACTATATCACAGTTTTTGCTGTATTTGTCCTTGTTTCTATTACAGTATTGTTTAGCCTTTGTGAGCACAAGAAGCTTATTATACGACATATATATATATATATATATTTCTGATTCCAAACTTTTCACTTGTAGTGTATACACACAAACACACATGTGACAAGTTGGACATAACAATATTCTATTCCATGAAGTCCTCATGCTAAATTAAACTAAAAATATGTAAGTGCAAACATATTACCTTTGAAGGAATTCCTGTGTGCATGCTCACCCTCACAGATTACTCTGCCTTCCATGTTGATCATCCATTGTTTTATCCACTGGCCCAAAGTATCATCTGAACCTTTAATAAATTGGTTGATTTAAGTATTATTTAGGAATTATTATTATGAATTATAATTATTATTATTATGGAGATTAATTCTGTGATTTATCATTTGTTTTGAAAGGCTTGGTGTAGAAAGGGCCATGATAAAATTATGCAAGACGTGATAAAGCCATACAATATAATTTTTCAAAATTAAAATAAATATTTAAATAACTATAATAAGCAACTACATGAAATCAAACCAGGTAATCTGAGATTCAAAGATAATGAAAAGTGACAGAACGTCTTAAGCATGTGTTAAAACATTGACAATAGTATGTCAATAGTAATACTAAAGGATAACTAGGCTTCTAAAAGGCAAGTTTATTTCTTTGGGTATCAGATCAAAACAAATACATACATTTCTAACTAAATGAGACTTTGCTTTAATGAATTAAAAATGAATGAATCTATTTCGTCAAATACAAACCAGCAAAGTCTATAGCGGGACACAAATGAGATTTTTTACCTATCTTAATCACAAAATACTTACCAAGCAGAATCAAATGAGGAGTCACAGGCAGGTTACCCATCTTTTTAAGATTAGCAGTGGTGGCAGACATCTATTGGTCAAAAATGAATTGTAAAGAATTTTCATTATAATAGCAGTTACTCCTTACTCACAAAAAAGATTAAAAGCTCTGCCACTTTAGGTAACGTTACCAAGCATAAAATCTGATCGTAACTCTAGTCAATTTCTATATAAACCAACTGCAATAACGTAAAAAATAACAAAGGTCTCACTCGATCTTAAAATGTTATTTTTAGAAGCACCGGAGTTGCAAATGAAAAGGTGTATCTTTAATAAAATGGACCAAATATGCAAGTTACACATGTAACCACATGAAAAAAAAAGATTCTGTACGATCTTCACTCAAAGTTCATGTAAAATCTAGGTTTAACATTCTTACCTGTGTGTGATGTGAAAATGAGTCCTCCAGCTATCATTAGCTTGCTAAATTAGGCTAAAGTTACCCCCTTTCTCTTCTCAAGACATTCACACGGTCGGATCCTGCAATTAAATAAACAGGTGCTTTGGTTATGTGTTGATTGGATGTTTATGGCATGATATTTAAATTTAATAAGTAATTTAAAGATAGTACGTTTACAGATATAGCTTCTTACCTCGTAGAAATATCCAAATTATCCAATTATCCTTTCTTGTAAGTACCTTGGAGTTTCAAACAGAGGCACGCAGTTCAAATCTGTCATAAAATGCAGGGCAATGTACCAGTTCATGTAACCACAAATCATAACGTTCAACATTTGCACTGTTCCTAAAAGTTCAGGTAAAATATCCATCCAGGCTCCAGGAGATGTGAGGACTAACGTTACCGAGTCCTTATGCTAATCTTGCTTTTCAAATTCACACAGTCAAATCATTGTTGCAGTTGTGTGTTTATTGGATGTTTACATGTGATTTTAAAAACTAACAGGTACTTTACAGATAGTTAGTCACATATAGAGCTGCAAACTTACCTCATGTAGATAATCCAAAATGGCGTCTTGTGTACACAGAAAAAAATATGGTATAAAACCGTTAAATTACAGTGCCCTTACTGTTGTTGCTCAACCACTCAAACTGAAGTGAGCAAGTCTTCCCATGATGCATTGTAAAAAACGGCAACTTGCTGTTTTTACATTAAAACAGTATTTTGCTGTTTATTTTCACCGTAAATTTACAGGAATTTTTTACAGTGTACAGTTAATGAAGAGATGTCAAATACAGTAAATGAGACACAAATATTTAACAATACTCCAGTCTATACTGCAGCAGCAGAATTTATATGAAGAGTTTATTTGCAAGAGATAACTCAATTTTTACATATTATGTTTGTTGTGTATAGAAGAGTACACTTTCATAAACATGATTTATAAAAACGACTAAAAGTTTTTTAAGGTTTGAGTAGTTTTCAGACATCATGTTTTTACATTATGTATTAAAGATTTAAATTGCAAAAAAAATCTACATTCATTAAACAAAAAAAAAACCCTCTTCATACATCACCCTTTAAAATATAAGACTATAAGACTATATAAGATTGTTGCAGTTTCACTGGCTAGGCAATGGATGGAAACACAATGAAGAGATATAGTACTAAATTCCAACTCCTTATCTGCATTACATGGTTTTTACAGTGATTAAAGAAGTCATCTTTATGACAGAACTTTCTGTATGAAATTTGCACAAAAATTATGGTAAAATGAAAGATAAATTCAGTGTAATGGTAAAGGGATTGATCAAATATGCCTATTGGTAGAAGGTGGGCAAAGAAATGTCATGCTCCCTTGTACAATAATTTTATTATCAAATTATTAAAATTATTAAAATTATTATCAAAATACAGCATTTTAATATTTTGTGACTGCTGTATTTTGTAGTTTATTTTAATAAATGTAAACTGAAGTATTTTGTATTTTATTTTAAAATATATTTCAATGTATTTTTGCCCATCCCTGAAAGTAATATTCAACTCGTTTAGTTTTGTCTTCATTCATTTTTGTTTTTAGTGATGACATAAAACTCGAGTCTTCAAACACATGATTTTTTTACAAAACATTTTTAAACAATAGTTTAACTAATTAATTTCTAATAACTACTATTTGTAATCAGAGTAAAGTGTCATTTAAAGACTTGACTAGGTTATGTTAACTAGGAAAGTTAGAATAATTAGTCAAGTGATTGTATAACTGGTTTGTTGTGTAGACAATCAAAAAAATACAGTAAATACTGTATTTCTTGAGGAGGCTAATATTACTGTCCTTAAAATATTTATTTATTTATTTATTTTTAAACAGCTTTTATTCAAGACAAATGGAAAAGAAATAAGAAATATTATGTCTCCAGAAGATTTATTTTTGTTTTATAAGAAATACTGTGAAAATTTTCTTGGTTTCAAGAGTTCACACTTAGATATTGCTTGACAGCTGTAAGCAGGTTTGGCATGCTGTCCCGGGAGAGAACCCTGAGCTCGGAGATAGTTGAGCCCAGGGCTCCCGCCAGATCCATAGAGCATGTGAGGGGAGTATGAGATCAGGTGGTTCTCGAGAGCTCCCCTTTTTGTAAAGGAGAAAAGGAGGAGAAGGGGGTGGATGGGGGGTTTCTTCGGAAAACGAAGATAAGGGAGTAATGTCTAGCTAGGCTACTTATAGTGGGTTAGGATAGATCTCATTGGCTAACTAATGAGTGTAGATAGGTGGCCAGCTGCTGTCAATTATATCACGTGCTCCTCTCGAAATTAGTTTAAAAACTTCACTTCTTAAAGATTACTTTAAACATTACTTTAAACACTTTTTTTTAAATTAATGGGAGGGCAGAAAATTGATTTCAACTGTATCTGTTAAAGTTTACAAGTTCAAAAATGTGCCTTGATGTACTTGAATGTTAAGAATGTGTCATCCAAGTTATATAATTAGCGTGTTTATAAAGACTGCAGAGTGATGCATAAAAAAGACTGAACAATTGTTTAAGTAGTTTGTGATGTACAGTATGTTAAAGTATGCACCCTAAAAGTACAAGTAGCCCTTGCCCGGCCAGTTATTCTGGCCTAGAACCGCCACTGCTCTTGGTTCCTCTGTGGTGAAACAACCTTCATTAAATTCACTGATACCATCACAACTTTTAAAAAAAGTTACTTTTGCTTCTTTTTTCTCACATTTCCTCTAGTGTGTGTACTAACTTTTCACTTTGTGCACTTAACTTGAAACTAACTATTGGTCAATGGATTCGCCCTTTCAGAAATGAAGTTTCTTGAGCAGGCCAAGAAGACACAATAGTGCAAGATTTTTATTTTCATTTTTTATCTTGTGTCCAGTACTGTCCTCCTCTCTGGACCTGCTGGATCTGAGCGAGCCTGGTGAGAGAAGACACAGCAAAGACAGAAAGAGCCCTCTTTCTTCTAAAAGCACACCGTATAGGAAGAAGCCAGATGAAACAGAGCTGATCCAAGTGGACATTGAACAGAGCATTCCCTGTTCCCGCACACCTGAAAAAATCTCATTGGACTCAGGTATTATAAGTTTCAGAGTATATTGAAAAGCAATGAGATGGAAATCAGATGGATTAGGAATTATTTTATTAAAACTGTAGGTTCTGTAATAGACAGTACTTTACAGAGAGAAGAAAATTACAGAACATATGTTTATGTTGTTGCTCTTTTTAAAATGTGCGTGATGCAGATGCCACAAACATAGGTTGCATTTTATTTGGGCTATATTATGATAGTATATCTCTGTCTGAGGACATGACCTCATTTTGTTTACAGCAGCAGTTCCATCTTCATTGGACAAATGGGAAGAGCTCAACCCACACCCAGAGCGAACTGGTAGCAGAAAGTGGAAACTTGAGAGAAGACGATCATCAAAGAATTCTGGTGAATTTGTGTGGTAAGTTTTTGCACTAGAAAACAAAGTTTAATATAATTTGGATTTTTAGACAATGGAGATCAAATACAGAGAACGTTCGAGGTTACTAAAGTAACCCTTCGTTCCCCGAGGAGGGGAACGGAAGCACTATAAGTGGATTTGATTTGTAAAATCCACGCATTGGAAGGTTCGGTTCAGAAGCTACTCGTCTGAAAGAGTATTGAACGGGCCAATTAAGAATGAATTGGCAGCGCAAGCCTGCGCAGGTGAGCGGCATAAGCAATCAACTGAGTATATAAGCTCACCTGGCGCCAGCAGACGCTATCCTTTTTAAGCTGAAGAGACTTTCAACAGCTAAGGGACAGTCATTATGGCGACGGAGTATAGTGCTTCCGTTCCCCTCCTCGGGGAACGAAGGGTTACTTTAGTAACCTCGAACGTTCCCCTTCGGGGGGAACTTCAGCACTATAAGTGGATTTGATTTGTAAAATCCACGCATTGGGAGCCCATTGAAAGCGCCATAATGACTGCACCTTACCAACACCCCCGATGAGGAGATAGTCAAGCAAGCGTGACGCACCCACATCATGGGGGGCGCGGTCCTCCAACGTGTCCCTGGCCCTAATTTATCCTACTTCAACAGAAGTTTTACGGATTTATATATATTTTTTGGGAAGTCGTGAGCATCTAGATAATTCTAGGAAAATACGACAGTACGTTGGGAAGCGTGCAATCCCGATAGGGAGGACGCTGCGGAGGCCATCCGTTACCCAAGGGGGATAGATGGCAGAATTACATATGGACTAGCCCTAAAAAGGGGGAGTACGCATAGCAAAAGAGTGGTTAGCGGGGAAGGAAGACACGGGTCCGCCCAGGGGGGGGACTTAACCGTGGCGGAATAAGCATATGGGATCGCCTAGTGGGGATCACTCATAGCAGGCACCTTTACCCAAAACGCGGGCTGACCAGCGGGCAGACCTACAACGTAGTGGGCCAGCAAGTGACTCCTCCGCTGAGTCAGTGCTGGGGGCCACGGAGGAACCTGCAGGGCTCACCTGACGTGGAACTTTACTGACAGATAAAAAGGCGCACGTATCTCCGTGTTAGGGAAAATGGCGCAGCAAGCGTGTTTCAACACCCTACCGAATTGTTTCCTCAATCACCAAGGGTTACCTAATACCCTTGAGGAAACCGGCTCCACTCGCAGATTGTAAAACCTTGCAAATGTGTTGGGTGTTACCCAGCCCGCAGCTCTACAGATGTCTGTTAGAGGGGCGCCGCGTGCGCGCGCTCGAGAGGATGCGAAGCTCCGAGTGGAGTGCGCACGCGCTCTCGGGGGACGCGGCTCATCTCGGCTCTGATAGTGAAAGAAAGGCATCCACAATCTAGTGGGAACTTATTTCGGTACGGCACTTCCCTGCTGCCGACCGCTATAACAGACGAAGAGCTGCTCAGATGATCTAAACTCTGAGTGCGGTCCGGATAATACGCAAAACGCGAACTGGACAATAAGAAGGGCTGGGTCTGCCTCCTCCGAGGGCAGCGCTTGCAGGCTCACTACCTCGTATTAAAACGGAGTGGTAGGAACCTTGGGCACATATCGCGGGCGGGGTCTCAGGACGTGAGAGAAGCCAGCCCAATTACAGGCACGAGTCACTGACCGAAAAATGCCTCCGGGTCCCCGACCCTCTAATCGATATCAACGCGACCAGCAGAGCTGTCTTCAGGGACAGAAAAATACTGAGTCGAGGATCGAAGGGATCTGACGCGGCTTGTGTAGCGAGGGCGAGATCCTAAGAGGGCATGAGAGGGGGCGGGGTGGATTAATTCGCTTAACGCCCCTGAGGAACCGGATGATGAGGTTATGCGTTCCCACGGTGCTGCCAGCCACCGCGTTATAAGAGCGGAGATGGCAGCCACGTAACCTTGAGTGTGGAGGGCGACAGCCTGCTCTCCAACTTCTCTCGGCGTAAAGAAAGCACAACGCTGATCTGGCAAATTACGGGGGTCTTCTCAGCGAGAGACACACCATTCAGTGAATAGACTCCACGTCAGGGCATAGGCGCGCTCGGGGAGGGGGCTCTAGCCCGAGTGACGGTATTAGCCACCGCAATCGGAGGTTACCTAAGTCTTCCTCGCGTCTAAAAATCTCTTCAAAGATCGGCGAGGGTGCCAGGTGGTGCCCTGTCCCTGAGAGAGTAGGTGCTCTCTCGAAGGGACTGCCAGGGGAGGGCTATCGCGAGGGAGAGCTCTGACATCCAGGTCCGGTTGAGCCAGAGGGGCGCAACCAGCAACCTGTTCCTCGTCCTCCCTGACCTTGCACAGTAACTGCGCGAGCAGGCTCACTGGGGGAAACGCGTATTTGCGCGTGCCCCGAGGCCAGCTGTAAGCCAGTGCATCCGTGCCGAGAGCACTCGGTCAGGAAAAAAACAACTGGCAATGAGCGATCTCGGGGGAAGCAACAGATCGATCTGGGCTTCCCCGAATCGCGCCCATATCAGCTGAACAGACTCGGGGTGGAGTCTCCATTCTCCAGGACGCAAGGCTGCCGTGAGAGCGCATCGGCTGCACGGTTGAGCTTGCCTGAATATGAATGGCGTGCAGCGATTTCAGCCGCGGATGACTACAGAGGAGCAGACGGCGGGCGAGCTGAGACATGCGGCGAGAGCGCATACCCCCTATACGGCTGATATACGCCACCGCCGCCGTACTGTCCGTCCTGACCAGCACGTGTTGCCGCTCCAGCACTGGAAAAAAACGGTGGAGAGCAAGGAACACTGCCAACAGCTCCAGGCGATATGCCAATGCAACTGGGTACCTTTCCACAGGTCCGCAGCCGCATGCCCGCAACGCACAGCCCCCCAGCCCGTGTTGGAAGTGTCTGCTGAAACGACAACAAGACTGGACGCCTGTTCTAGAGACACCCAGGCCTGTAGGAACGAGGGGTCGCTCCAAGGGCTGAGGGCGCAGCGACACAGCGCAGTAACAGAGACTCGGTGTGCGCGCGCGTGCCATGCGCGTCTGGGGACTCGATCGTGAAGCCAGTGCTGAAGTGGTCTCATATAGAATAATCCGAGCGGCATGAAGCGGCTGCGGATGCCATATGCCCCAGGAGCCTCTGAAATAGTTTCAGTGGGACCACTGTTTTACTGTCGAGCTCTCTCAGACAGTACAGCATCAGCTGAGCGCGCTCTCCGGAGAGGCGCGCTGCCATGGTGACCGAGTCCAGCTCCAGCCCGAGAGAAGAGATCCTCTGCACGGGGGCGAGTTTGCTCTTTTCTCGGTTGACCTGAAACCCCCACAGGTGGAAGTGCCAGAGCACTTTGTCTCTGTGCATAATCAACTGCTCCGAGAGAGGGCAAAAATCAGCCAGTCGTAAAGAAATTGAGTATGCAGATGCCCGCGAGCCGAAGGGGCGCTGAGGCACCCTCCGCGGGCTTGGTGAGGACCCGCGGAGACAGAGAGAGCCCGAAGGGGAGGGCTTTGTATTGCCAAGCTCGACCTTCAAACGCAAACCGCAGAAACTGTCGGTGGCGAGGAAGAGTGGAGACATGGAAATACGCGTCCATCAGGTCTAATGCTGCAGACCAACCCAGAGGACGAACGCACCGGAGGATGCGCTTCTGCGTGAGCATTCTGAACGGCCGCTTGTGCAGGCAGCGGTTCAAAACGCGCAGATCTAGGATTGGCCATGACCCACCGCTCTTTTTGGGCACGATGAAGCGTGGGCTGTAAAACCCGCTCTCCATCTCGGCTGGAGGGAGCGGCTCGATTGCATCCTTCGCCAGGAGGACAGCAATCTCCTCTCGCAAGACAGGGGCGGACAGGGGGCTGACCCTGGTGAATACACACCCGTGACTTGGGGGGCCGTTTCGCGAACTGAATCGCATAGCCGAGTCTGATTGTGCGTATGAGCCACCGCGAAGAGCTGGCCCGCGCTAACCAGGCAGGCAGAGCTCTCGCTAATGGACTCATCGCTACAATCGCTGACGTACCAGCAGTGGGGCAGCGCGGAGTGGGTGTGCTGATCCGGGAAGCTCGCGGGTCCCACGGAAAAGCTGGAGGTGAGATATTTGCTCTCACTCCAAACCCGAGCTCCGGAGGGGAGGCTCGAGGGGTGGGAGAAAGGAGACCGTCCTCCCAGCGCTCGTGAGCCACTGGCGAAATTCACCGAATCTGCAAGCTAGAAAGCATAGCGTCCCAGACTGGCAGATTTCGGGCTGTCACATCTGGGGAAGTGAAAAGTGCCCTTTCATAATGTTTTCATGGCAGTAAAAAGTGCCGTTGGAAATGGGGCCCCGCCCTCCAGCGGGGAAAGAGCAAGTTCCCTCTTCTCCAGATGGCCTGTCCCAGGGGCGCTTCGCGGTCCGTTGCCGGACTTAGCGGCGTTCTGGGCAGGGGGGCTGCCTGCTTCCGAGGTGCCCGACGCGCTCGCTTCGCCGGAGGCGTGTGCGGGGGCGGAGCAGCTCTCGTAGGCGGGCGCCTTCGGCGAGGAGCAGGTATGAATGGCACGGCGGGCGGAGCGGGCTACGGACCGCCGATAAGACATCACCCACCAACTGCTCTCTCACTGCCTTGAATTCCTGGGTGAATTCACAGACAGTGTCGCCGAACCTGGCTGGGGATATGGGGAAGTCAAGAAAGCGGACTTTGTCGACTTTGCGCATATCAGCCAGGGGTGGCGCTCCTGGACCACTAATGTGGACATCGTCCTCCCCAACGCACACGCAGCGGACTCAGTAGTCCGAAGAGCTAAGTCGGCGGCGGTGCGAAGCTCGTAAGCCTGGGTTGGACCCACCCTCGTGCAGCTCGGCCAGCGCCTGCGCTTGGTAGCGCTAGTAGGTGGCTATCGCATGCAAGGCGGAAGCAGCCTGGCCCGCAGCTATGTAAGCTCTAGCTCCGAGGGAGGTAGATAACTTACAGGCTTTGGATGGGAGACGAGGCGGACCCCGCCAAGAAGAGGCGCCGCGCGGATTTACCGCCATCGCGCACTCAACCTGAGGAATCGCCACATAGCCCCTGGCTGTTTCACCGTCAAGAGTGGTTAGGGTGGAGGAACACGCAGCACGAGCAGAAAAAAGTGCTTTACAAGACCGCGTGAGCCTACTGTGCACCTCCGGGAAGAAGGGAACGCCCCTCTAGTCGGTCCGGCCGCGGAGCTGGGGGATAAACCATCTCCAACCCACGGCCGAAGCAGCCCGGGAAAGCACGGCTAACATGTCCGTTTCAGGATCCGTAGTGACAGCGCTCACCAGCCCGAAGGGAGCGAGCGGGTCTGGATCATCATCGGACAATGAAAGCCCACCCTCCGATGCCGCGGTGGACATCTGGTCTCCGGTGTCATCGGGCGTAAGGGCTACCATCTGTTAGACGGATCGCTTCCCCCGCCCGAAGCTTGGATGGAGCGCTTAGAGGAGCGGGAGGTCCGCGGGCCCGTGGGCGACGGATTATCTCTCGCTGAAACCCTCAGATCTGCCCGAGTGCCCGCTGCAGAGCAGGGGACAACTGGGGTGGTTCGCCCTTTGCAAAGGCTAACCGCGATCTTGCGCAACAGTCATGGCATCGCAATGACGACATGAACTGCCCGCGAGCAGCGCATTAACATGCTGGACCCCCAGACATGTAACGCAGTGCCCGCGCCCATCATCCGAGGACAGGAAACCACCGCATCCAGAAACGCACAGTCGGAGCGCCGTCCTGATAAGGACGTGCTGCACGACTGTGTTGCTCTTTCTGTGAAGTTTGCAACTTTATACGCACCGCTCTGGAGGACCGGACCCAAAGAACGCCAGGCAAGGGAGAAACCCAGCTCAACCGTCTGCCACTGCGTGTACACACTCTGGACCGGGAGAATGCTCTCGTTCGCTCAGAATCGCTGGTCACAGCAGGAGGAACCCTCATCGACTCGATCAGAAAGTCTCTGAAGCGAAAAGGATAGCGTCTGCTGGCGCCAGGTGAGCTTATATACTCAGTTGATTGCTTATGCCGCTCACCTGCGCAGGCTTGCGCTGCCAATTCATTCTTAATTGGCCCGTTCAATACTCTTTCAGACGAGTAGCTTCTGAACCGAACCTCCCAATGCGTGGATTTTACAAATCAAATCCACTTATAGTGCTGAAGTTCCCCCCGAAGGGGAACGACCTATGATGTCCTATATGTTGAGGTCTCTGCTTAGCCCTATTTGAAGAAATTGTTTGACCCTAAAATTTATTTTATTTTTTCTGGTAATGACTGATTAGTTTTCCCAGAGATGGGTTACAGCTGGAAGGGCATCCGCCGCGTAAAACATGTGCTGGATAAGTTGGTGGTTCATTCTGCTGTGGCGATCCCGGATTAATAAAGGGACTAAGCTGAAAAGAAAATGAATGAATGAATGACTGATTAGTAGGTAAAAATATGGCAAAAATTAAACGAGTTCATTGATTCATTCATTTTGTTGTCGGCTTAGTCCCTTTATTAATCCAGGGTCACCACAGCGGAATGAACTGCCAACTTATCCAGCAATTTTTTACGCAGCGGATGCCCTTCCACCCGCAACCCATCTCTGGGAAACATCCACACATACACACACACACTCATACACTACAGACAATTTAGCCTACCCAATTCAGCCTTATCCGCATGCCTTTGGACTGTGGGGGAAACCGGAGTACCCAGAGGAAACCCACGCGAACGCAGTTAGAACATGCAAACTCCACACAGAAACGTCAACTGAGTCAAGAATCGAACCAGCGACCCAGCGACCTTCTTGCTGTGAGACGAACATGCTACCCACTGCGCCACTGCGTCGCCTATTAAACGAGTTTAGCAGCAATAATCAGCTAAAAATCCTAGTTTTGTTCAATTTAGTGGCATTTTTTGCTTTTCATATGCCTGACATTGTGAAAATACTCAGAAATTTTAGTTTTAATCTTTCTTCTTGCTACAGTCATTGCTGTTGTTTATTTTTAACCACTGAGTTTAAAACAAAATAAAAGGTTTTTGAAGTGCTTTGCTCATTATTATTATTATTATTATTGTTGTTGTTGTTGTTGTTGTTTTAGTTATTTAAAACACTGCATGATAGAGTTTGATAAATTGACCTCTAATTCTGAAGTTAACACCTATTTTGAACATTAATTTCTTCTAACATGATTCTAGGTCTATGGATTGCAAGCCACAGCTAGACACTAGCCACAGGAACTCCCTGGAGGTAAACAATAAAGTAGAGGCAGAAGCCGGGCCAGTAACCCAAGTAAGTGCAACACCAAGCAACACTTTTTATAAGACATAATCATCTGTACACGTGCCAGTGACTTTCACATGTTATTTCCCACATGTCCCATTGTTTGTAGTGCCACCAAACCTATACGTCTGTTTACAAGTGTGAATGTGTGAACATATTGTGGAAGAGTCTGTGCTAACATCTAGAATTCTTCATTTTCAGCTCAACAGGCAATATGTTAGTGGAAGACATGTAAGCCTTTCTGTGCACTCTTTGTATGAATCGCTGAATGGTCTATGCATTTGCACCATGGAAACAGCATCACCACCAAATTCAATGCAAAAAACGGCTAAACTATTCTGGCACTATTTGAGCTACATTCAGCTAATGAACTGAGGTTGCATCCTCAGGGAAGGTTACAGTGTACAAGGATTTTTAAATTTGTTGTGGTGCTACAAGGTACAAATGTTACACGCTTCTTGCCTCATTGAAGCATGCAGGTCTGCTGTATTGCCATCTATCATGATTAGATCATTTAGCAAATTAATTATTGACTAGCCACTGGCCAATATCACCACTGGAGGTTGTACAATAAATCCCAAGGCTGCTATTGAAAAAATTATATAACAAGAAATTAGACCAAATATATTGTGTTAAGCAATGGATGCCTTCTCTAGTGCATTTGATTTGTGTGTCTGGCTTGTAGATTGGTGTAAATACACAAAAACGTATAATTCCACTGTACTGTTGAAAAGTTTGGGTCAGTAAAATGTAAGTGTTTACTTGTCTTTTTGTTTGTTTTGTTTGTTTGTTTGTATAATTTCTCCCATGCTCACAAAATTTCCCTTTATTTGATCAAATTATTAGAGTAATTATTAGAGTAAAAAAGGTCATTTTATAAAATTATTTGACAAATCTAAAACTACCACCTTAGCCTACCACCTAAGTTGGTGGTTCATTCCGCTGTGGTTACCCCTCATATAGTCATATGAAAATGAAAATGTCATTTATTCATGTGATTGCTAAGCTGAATTTTCAGTTGCTGGTTTTTCATTGTCAGTGTCACATGATCAGTAATTATATTTATATACATTTTATATTGATTATATTGATTTTAATAGTATACTTATATATAGTATACTTATATACTTATAGTATACTTTAATAGTATACTGTATATGATCAGTAATTCTCATATGCAGATTTGGATGTTTCAAGAAGTATTTTTTACTGCAAGTATGCATGTACTGCTTTATTTATTTATTTATTTATCTTGATTGAATAAATAATCGTTAAATAATCTTTTATTTAAAAGATTTTTTTGTTTATGTTTGAAAAGTTACTATAAGAGTTCAATTTAAAGTTTGAAGCACTCTTTCTGTATAAAAGTACTTTTTCATTACAAAACATACTGACTTCAAATTCTGAATGGTAGAGCATTTGTTCTTTGACTACTATATTGTTTTAATAATGAATATTGTGTATTAGACAAATATAATGACATATTATACATGTTTGTTTAACAACAGAACTAGGGATGTCCAGATCTGTTCACATGAATGGAAATTGGCCCCGATCTCGCGGTTTCAGTCTTGATTGGAATTTGACGTTACCTCTCGATCAGAACTCAAATATATATGTATACAGTATATACATATATTCTCTTTTTTTAACCTATCTATAGTTATGCGGTAAAAAGCACCTTGAAGTGGAAAATACAAGTATGTCTACAGTCTGGAGGTATTATAAAGTTGATGACGACAACACTGCCATAGCAAACTGTGAGATATGTAAACTTGGGATTGCCTGCCGGGTATTCTAAGTTGAGGTGCTATTTGTTTATAAATAAGTCTCTTTTTATTTACTGTTGCACTAAAGTCCAAAAATGAAGTATTTATGTTATTTATTGCTTGATTGTTCAAGCTATCTTACAAAAGGGCTTTGTTTGGTAACAGAGTTGTAAAATTTTAAAAAGGGTGAATTAAATAGAAAATAAGGAACAGCTTGGATTGTTTTTTTGTTGTTGTTTTTTTTTTTTTTTTTTTGCTTTTATTCATTCTTATTTTTTATGTATTATAAAAGTATCAGATCGGGATTTGGTATCGGTAGATACTCAAAACCAAATGCTTTGGACTCAAGGGCAAAAAAAAAGATCGGGACATCCCTAGACAGAACTTTGCACCATTGAACCTTAATCCCTGCATGATGTACAGTAAGAAGTTAAGATAAAGCTGTCATGGATTTGTCGAGACTAGTCATGATAGAGCAATCAGTACATGTGAGCTGCATGGTTCTAAAAACATCGAGCTCAGACTATCTTTGGCCCATGAGGTGCAGTGGAAATGAAATGTGTAATGTTAAAGGCAATTGTTGCACTGACATAGGGCCTAACAGGCCACATTTAATGTAATTATACAGAGCTGCACCAGCACAATGAAGCACGACCAATTGTCCTTTTTGAGGCCCCCATTATAACCTCCTGTATGAAATCCATTTAACTTGGTAACCTTGGTAATTGATTAATCTCCAATGAGGCAGGTGGCAAATACTTCATCCTATTCCTTTGATTCAGCCTGCCTGGAAGGCTTTGTTATGCCGAGAATTGAATTGGCGGAAATGGAAGTTTTTCAGTGATAGCTCAGCACTTGACATTTAGACTGACCTAAGAACAAGACACAACGCTACGTACAGAGGGTGAATTTTTAAAGGGTAACTCTATGATTATGTTATTCATTAAAATGACAAGCAACTTTAAAGATTAAGGGGCACCGAAAACATAACACTATTATCAATGAAAATTCAACACAGAAAGCTGCCATTTTAATTTAGCATGATTAATTTGATTCAATGCAATTAAAAAGTAGCATAATTAATTATGCCATCTGGTATATACAGTTGAAGTCAGAATTATTAGAACCCCCAGAATTATAAGACTCCCTGTTTATTTATTCGTCAATTTTTATTTATTATTTATTCAATAAATATTGGGGCGAAGCAGTGGCGCAGTAGGTAGTGCTGTCACCTCAAAGCAAGAAGGTCGCTGGGTCGCTAGTTCGAGCCTCGGCTCAGTTGGCGTTTCTGTGTGAAGTTTGCATGTTCTCCCTGCGTTCACGTGGGTTTCCTCCAGGTGCTCCGGTTTCCCCCACAGTGCAAAGACATGCGGTACAGGTGAATTGAGTAGGCTAAATTGTCTGTAGTCTATGAGTGTGTGTGTGTGTGTGTGTGTGTGTGTGAATGTGTGTGTGGATGTTTCCCAGAGATGGGTTGCGGCTGGAAGGGCATGCGCTGTGTAAAAAACTTGCTGGATAAATTGGCGGTTCATTCCGCTGTGGTAACCTCGGATTAATAAAGGGACTAAGCCAACAAGAAAATGAATGAATGAATAAATAAATATTTATTTATTTATTTATTTATTTGTTTATTTATTTATCTGTCAATCACTGGAAGAATTTGAAACTGCTAGATGGAAGATATATTGGTCAATGAATAATGAATTAACAATGAATGACTTTATTTTGATCAACTAACAGTAAAAATATAAATAAATACTATAATAATTGTATTGTTCATTGCTTGTTCATATTTGTAAATAAGTAAATAGTTGAATTATCATTAACTAATGGTTCCTAATTGTAAAGCCTTACCAATAAAGTTTGTCATATCATGTAATTAATTTGTTTAAAAAAAAAACTTCACTTTTGGAAATAGTCTCATTTTTCAAGCTACCAGCTAGGTAAGAAAGCTCTGTTGTCCCTGAGTCAGCCATAATTCTGCAGCAAAATCCCTTGATTATTACGTCAGAATGAGAGTATGAAAATGAGACCTAGAAAATAGCAACTTATCATCTTCTGTTGGTCTTAGTGGCTACATGATGTAACTACAGATAAGACAAGCTTTGAATAGTAAAATTATCAAATCTTTTGGAATATTTTGAGTGAGATACTAATGGTCTAATTCGATTCAACGATCTATGTGAAGCTAAGCTAAAAATGCTCCCGTCAAACCTGGAGATATGCTGTGTGGATTAAAAACTGTAAAACTCAATTGTTTAGCTCAATAGGACTTGTTAAATGAGCCATTTTTTTTAAGTGGAGTGTTCTTTTAACAATTTTAATGGATTTTTAGTCCTTGCAGTAACCTAGTTAACAAAATATAACACAGTGTTTTAATGTTGTTGTTAAGCTATCGGCAGAGATAAACAGGCTCCTGTTGTTTATGCCCATATGTCACCCTCTAAATTTGAAACATCTCCATATGAAGCATTTATGACAAACAAAACTGTTGAGGTCTTACTCTTGTATTTTATTTTGCAGTAAGCTTGATTTCTGTTGCTGTGTGCTTAATAAACACACACACACACACACACACACACACACACACAAACATGCACACACACATATAAACACACAGCAGTGTAGTGGAAATGAATGGCTTTGCCGCATGTCAAGCATGTCTTCAGGTGTACAGTGTTGAAAATGGTGCAAATTTGACGATTTCTGCTGAGCAAAGGTCTCCTGCCATGCTATTTTCAGATTTGCATACTGAGAAAAATGTGTGAGGGCAGTGCACTGTGCATGACAAGCCAGTCCAGAGCCATTATGAATGTGAGAACATTAAGTGTGGACAGCAGGACCTCAAAAGGGAGTGAACGTGAGAAAGAGAGAGAGAGAGAGAAAGAGAGAGAGAAAGAAAGAGAGAACGAAAGAAGACCTTGTGCTGTAATGATGGCATTTCTCCTTGCCTCTGGCATCAGAAGTTGGCAAGGGCAGGGCCTTTTCTCCTGTCAGAGTGACTGAGAGATGGCTGGACACGTTCTCTCTGACTGCTACTCTGTTTGCGTGTGTTTGACAGGGCCGATTGAGCAAAGAGCAGAGGTGGGGCAGCACACTGCTGTCCAGAAACCAGTCTCTGGAGGAGGAGTTTGAGAGAGCGAAGGCAGCAGTGGAGGTAAGAAAAGTGTCCTACACTGTGTTTATATTGACAATCATGAAAAACAGTCCCTCATAATCAGTGCTGGATAAAGTGCACAAATCTAAAGCGTATAGATAGCCCAATAAAATGACTCTTTCACTAAATTTAAATGCACTTACTGTAAACATTAAAAGTAAAAAGAACTTCTTTTAAAGCCAATTTAATTTACAAACTATTAGTAAATTTACAATAGTAAATGTGATTTTAGTCCCAAATGACGTGAAATTTAAATGAAGATAATTTGTGAAATGTCTCTGAAAAAACTATGAAGAGAAAAGCCTAGTATATGATTGAACACTATCCTAGTTACAGATTTTGACATCATGTTTAATTTGCAACACAGGCTCATTCTAAAAATATAGCCCTATATACGTTTCTGGAAACCGCAAATTATGTAGCTGCAGCTACATATGGCTGCATTTCGTCTTAAAAACAAACGCTACGGGCGGTATGATGCAGTTCCTGTTTGCACTTGCCAGCTGACTGCTTACCTGCATGTGGACAGCTTTTCTGCTGTTGCCAGTTTGTCTGGTGGCTTGACGCGTACGGCGGTTGACTTGAGATGCAGTGCAGAGTTCAAGTCCAGTGGAGAACGGTTCCAGAAAGTAGGTAAGCCAATAACAAAAGTTAAAAAAGTAAAATACACATGTAAATAACAGGGTGAGAATGTGGTAAAATCTAAAAACGTGGTAAAAATCACAAAGGGCTTTTCTTTTTCTGGATTGCTTTTCAAAACAATCACAAACACTGCGGTTGGGTTTAGCCCCTTCAGACCTGAATTATGTTCCAAATTTCAGAAAAATGGGATGTCATGTGATGTCCATTGTAATGAACGCAGGGTCTGAAGGGGTTAAGGAAGGGGGTGGTGGGTCAATCCAGCCTGATCTCATGAGAAAACGTAAGTATTTTACGTTTTGCCAGTTTAGTGGCTAATTCGTACGAATTCGTACGAGTTCAGTCGTACGAAATGGTACGATTTTAAAAAGGAGGCGTGGCACCTGACCCCACCCCTAACCCCAACCGTCATTGGGGGATGAGCAAATCGTACTAAATTGTACAAATTAGATCGTACGAATTCATACGAATTAGCCACTAAATGAAAAAGTTACGAATTGCCGTGAGATTGTGTTTGTCAATCAGTGCTTTTTAAAACACTATTGGTAGGGTTTAGGGGAGGGCGTGTTGGTTCAGTTGGTGCTTTTTAAAATACTATTGGTTGGGTTTAGGGAAAGGGGGTTATCGGTCAGGTTGTCAGTTAGTCAGGTAGTCAGTCGACAGCAGCTTCTGGTAGACTTACATGAGAACAGCTCGCGAATAGCACTCGCGAGAAAAATTTGAGATATGAAAAAGCGTACATAGCGGTCTCCGATGAAAAAAACGTAGCTCCTGAGACATATTTTGTTCTCTCCAGAAATGTATATAAGGGTACATAATCGAAATGAGCCTAGGTTGCTTGTTTTGGTTTGTTTAGATGTGTTGCATTTATGTTTTTATCTCAACCCAAATAGAGAACATTTTAATTCCATAATTTTAGCTTGTTTGGTGTGTAACAAGGTTTAAACCACAGTTTCACAATCATTCAAATGAACTACATAAAACAGACCAGTTGTAGAGTAATTTAACCAAAAGTGCCAAATGTAAACTTTCATGGATTTATTATTATTTAGAAATATCATTATTGAGGGAAATCGTTTTAATGTTGAAAAAAATCGTCTTGAAGTTACGTAAAGGTGTGCCTTCTGCTGCTGCTAAAACATAAATAAATTAATAAAAATTAATAAGACCTCGCCTTTGGAAGAGTTGGAAACCACCTGCTGTCACAAGTACAATGTGATGCTAATTAGCCTTACTCAATAATTGATTGATTATAATGTCATCGCCATCACTCAGGGAATAAGTTGGACCATATAATAACTTTCCATTGCTCAATGAGAGGAAGAAATAGGCCAGTCGTGCAGCATCAGGTGGCAGAGTAGAGTGTATTGTGCTTACAGAAACTAGATATGGGCTGATTCAGCTGGAGACCCTGCTATCCAACATCAGTTCCTCTGCTTCAGTGATCACAACCGCTGATGCATTGGAAGAAATTACTCTATGGCCTGTCACTCAGAAAAAAATTAATGGTGAAAAAACGGATAGTAATATTTTGGTTTTAATATTTTCAGTAGTACTGCTCAGATAAAAGAATTGTTTTTTATTCTAGACTGACAATATTATATTATATTATATTATATTATATTATATTATATTATATTATATTATATTATATTATCATTAACCATAGGTATAGTATAATCATATTGTTCAAACGGTATTACAAAAAGGTAACTTAATCAAAAATAAAAATAAAAAACTTACAAATATATAAAATATGTTTTAGTATATACTTTGCAGTGCTGACTGCACAAAAATTTACAAAAACGAAGTAATATCTTCAATACTTCGAAGACACTGGAAATATTACTGTACCTGTCTATTACCTGACTTTCTGCTGAAAGAAAGTAAAAAACTATGCCTAAAACTAAAAAATAAGCTTTGTGACACTGAAATAAAAATATTTGACAGAGTATCTTGACACTTAGGGCCTACTCACACTATGCCATCCGTACCGTGCCCAGGCCCGTTTCCCGGATCGTTTGAGAAGTGTGAGTGCGCTGAATCGGGCTCAAGCACGGTTCACTTGGCCGGCCCTAGCCCGGTTGGAAGAGGTGTGCCTGGGCCCGGTTCACTTGGGCTTTGGCGCGGTACGCTTGTGTGTGAGTGCAAAACGCACCAAAGCCCGAAACTGAAAGCGAGACGTGACTTTTAAGGCACTGTTTCATATGGATTTATTAATAATTCTTACTGTTCAGTGAACGCAAACTGCCGTAGTTTATTAAAGACGCAAAACCTTCACTGCACGACAGCTGCGCGCCTTCAGCAGACCTCCTCATTCCTGCAGCATGAGGGCTTTATGATTGTTTATGAGCGCCAAAAGTGGTGGATCTGTTCGGCGAAATGTCTGACTGCATGTCCCCGCATTCCTAAGTACTGTTTGGCGAAATATTTGACGGCATATCAAATGACTGAAACGATATAACTAGAGAAATCTCCACTGTGCTGCTGAGTGAGAGAGCGCTTCTCACTGAACAGCGCAGCAGCGATGACGTAAGCGTGCCGAAGCCCGTTTGTGGTGTGAGCGCGGGCCGTCGGGGGAGACGGGAGGGGGGACAAGCGTGCTTTGGCCCGGTTCGAGGCAACTGTACCTAGTGTGAGTACGGCCTTCATGACATTTTAATGATAAATACAATTTGTACCACTGTAGTTGAATAAAATTGCACAAGAAAAATATTGTTGGCGCTGTAATAAAATGTATTTATACTGTTGTAGAATTATAGTATACAATACATTTTTCCACTTTTAATGGGAAATTTTAATGGCAAATTTCAACACAAATAATAAAATAAACAAGTAAATAACAGGCTGAAAATGTGGTAATGTGGTAAAATTTGAAAATCTGATGAGGGCTTTTCTTTTCTTCAAATGGTTTTGAAAATTGTTAATCGGGTTTAGGGAAGTGGGTGTATCAGTAAATCGGTGCTTTTGAAAACACTATTGGTTGGATTTAGGGTGGGTCAATCAGTCAGTCAACAGTCAGTCGACAGCGGCCTCTGGTGAATTTACATGTGAACAGCAGGCACGAATGGCACTGGCAAGAAAAATTAGAGGTCTGAAAAAGCTTACACAACAACCTCTGCTGAATTTGCGAAAACAAAAAGCGGTACATTTTCAGAAGGAGTGTGAGTTAACTAATTCAGTTTGCTCTACTCCAAAGAAGTGATTGATTCATGAAAATTAATGACAATCATGTTTATGATAGATTTATGACAAATCATGTTGTCATGACAAAGACTTATAATTTATTTGTTCACGTAAAGTTGTCATACTAAAGACATCTCAAACAATGTCATCTTTACATTTAAAAGGACAACTGTGAATGACATTTATTGACAGTCATAAGCATGCATACAATCTCAAATGTCATATATCATGATTATAAAGTCTTCATGACAGGCTTATGCACATCACCTTCAAGTAAAGTGTTCACCCTTTATATTTTATTTGTATTTTTGGTCCTGGACACAAAGGAATAGTAACCAGAACATGAATAAAATATTTCCTCAAAGTGTGATAAGACTACTTAGTACAGTGTTACAAGTCCTCACTGCTTAATAGTTGATGTTCTGATGAGTGTCTGCTATTGCATTACATGTGTTGCAGAGGTAGAGTGCTAAGGGCAAAAACATGGACATCTGTAAGAACAGATGAATAATGGAGGAGAACGAGGAAGGGCACATCTAAAAGTGAAAGCAGTGCGTACAGTACAAAGAATTATGCAATGGAGAAATTTTATTGTGCAGAAAATCATTGGTTAGCCTTCAAGACATTGTTTTTATGTAAGATAATGTTCAGTTTGTAGAGAGTTGAGAGAATTTGAAGTACAGTGTGTAAGTAGTGATTCTCAGGGCTCCAATGGGAACAAATGGAGGATTGATCGATTGCACCATCCTTGAGTTACGATCATTATGAGAACACACTGAGAGCTGTCCTTCTGCCTCCAGTCCCTCTATAAGAACCGGCATATATTTAATATGATTATTAGCTGAGCGGAGTCCTGAATTATCCAGAAAGATACTCTCTGGGACATTGAGACCGGTTTCCAATCATCTCATTTGTTGATGCTCTGAATGAAGAAATATCTTGGAGCCTAAAAATGAATTGAAATGAGGAAGAGTCAGGCCGGGCTGCTTACTGAGCGGTGAATAAAGATGCGAGATAGATGGGAAATGCATTTTACGCCCCGCAGTCTTAGGGGAGGACGCTGGGATGCAGGAAACAGAATACAACTGAAATTATGCTGCTCTATTTAGAAACAGGCAGACAGTGAGAGGTGAATGCCGGCTTGCTGGCTGACTCTCTGCTGGTCAGGGCCAAAT